TTGTGGATTGAAGAAGGTTTAACCGATCTGTCCGTATCGCCCAACCATTTGACACATTTTTGTACAGCTTCAGTGTTTCTGTATAACACGCGATACTCCTAGGAGTAAAAATCTCCAGTGTAACTCAAACGATGCATTGTTTTGCATTCACACGCCCTGTAATCTGTTCATCAGAAGGGGATAGAAAAATCTTGTTGAGGAGAACAAAATCCGTTCGTAAAAGTACACCCTCATAACTGCGTCATCAGTTTATTACCGATGCAACGTAAGTTACAAACTGCCACGATCGAGGCTTGATTATTACCAGTTTTTGTCTATAGCTTCTTGGGAAACGGTGTTCTAATTATTTTTTTTGATCAAATTGAGTTTCATTATGTTTATCACCTATATTAATGTTTTAGGTATGAACAATAATTTATCTTTTGTCTACTTCGATCTACGTAGTTTCTAGCCTACATGATTATTAATTAAACGCGTCTGATCTTGGTTGGCAAGATTAATTAATCTCAACATGAAAATAGCAAACGTTATCGAGTGTGCAAACGTAATATATTCGAATAGGAGTGACTCAATAATTAAGCCAAATTTTTTCCATATAAACCTTTGCCATCTCGATTATTTATGAGACATATAGTCCATCATCGCAACTCTATTGGATAACCAAATGAAATTCTTTTACAACCCGGGGGAATCGCATCAAATAAGGTTTCATAATGGTAAAAATAATTATTATTATCAATGTTAATTTGTTGTAAATAAAAATTGTTTTATTCTCTTTTGTTACCTCCTAACTCATCCTGGTCTAGGTCAACCACTGCTGACGAAATGGGAGTGCCAGCTACATTCTGAATCATTTCATCTGCTGAGTATAAACGAATCACAAAAATCACGGCTTCCAAGATTCACCAAGGCTTGTTTATTATTATTTGAAAAAATATTTACTTCAGTATAAATGTTGTTGATTATATGAACCCACAAGTGTTTCACAGGGACCCGTTATTTCAGTTTCGATTAGACCTTTATATACCTTTAACGGAAGCACACGTTTCAAATTTAAAAAAACGTTTGCTACAGTTCACAAAAATAATCTTCAACCAACTACTTGAACCTCGTCGCTTAAAAAAAGTATTCCAAAGCCAAATACAAAATAGGGCTTTGGTGAATCGTGTTAGACACAGAGAAATCTAAAAATATTCCGAGATTTTTCTCAGAGTCGTAGATGCTTTTAGTGTAAGGTGATTGGTGATGGTCAAACATGACACTTGGGAGAATTTACCCTTCGCATCGATAGTTTTGGATCCATGAGGTCTTGTTCCTCCTGTCTTACCTATCTACTGTGTGCTCCCAGCCACCAGCGACCACGGATTCCTCGCAGTCACGCTTGCCCGCATATCGTCAATCGTCCAAATGCGCAGTCCCGTGTCGTTTTGAGTGGTCGAGACAGCGAGCCCGGGGAACATCCCGTCTCTTGTTCGTGTCGAGTTCGCTGCACTGCTCAAGCTACGCATGACATAAAAACAATTCATTTTGTGACCCGTGTCCACTCAGTCACCTCAGTAGCGGAGGTTCGTGAACGTCCATGACCCAGTGCCGTTCCGTGCACATTTAATATGTGCATTAAGAAAAGTGATACCGTATTTTCAAACGCATCCATCCTTGTTACTTTTGGGTAGATCCGATTCGTTATTGGGCGTACGTTGCACAAAAGGATTCGTTTGCGTTCCAGGCGTTTGCCTGTACACGCAGTTGGCGCTCAGTCATATCGCTCATTCCCTGTGCTCTATATGTGGATGACCCATTCAGTTGCACACGAACTTGAACGGAAATTCCAATCTCCCATACGGATCGACTAGAAGAACAAACTGGATTTCAGTATCTTCTCACTCCCTCCTTTTACGCAGTGTATCCCTTCTGACAAATGGGAACGTGACAGGTCAATTTTTTTTTACCGATGTGCAGGCTGATATACATGTACAAATGATTATACATACATTATTTTGCCTTTAAGTTGTTTCTTTGGCCGTGAGACTTTCTAAAATTGCAGGGTTTTTTCTATTTATTTGCCACTTGTAATCGAAATTCTGCCCCTGTCAGGCTACAAAAGATTGTGTTGGGATAAGGGCGACAATCACCGGTACCATCAACACCAGCCACGCCA